CTCCCTGTTGAGAACAGCTTTCTCCCTCATCCTGAAGGAACAGCAAAGGGGCAGAGAAGTGAGTGGGCTTTGGCAGTCTCAGGGACTGGGGACTTTTGGTGGAGATCCTAAAGGGCTACGTTCTAGGAAATGGTTCTCAATGGGGGTAACTTTTCTTCTTCAGGGGACACCAGATGTCTGGAAACATTGCTGGTTGTCACAACTGTGAGAATACTACTAGCTTCTAGTGAGTAGACTGCATGGTCAGCTCCCACAACAAAGAATGATCTGGTCTAAAATGTCAATAATGCTGAGGTTGGGAAGTCCCAGTAAGAAACCCTTACTAGGAGTGGAAAAGAACTGGAAAAAACCATCCCTCATAAAGACTGAAGCCCAGCTGAATCTCTGAAATCTCTGGTTGGATTTTCAGCGTAGGTTCCTGACAGAAGCCAACATGAATCTTCCCTGGAGGAGAATAATACTACCAAGAGTCTCAAATATACACCAGCAACTGAACGTAAGGTGGGGAGGAAGGGCAAGGGACAGAAACCAAAGTCAAGGTGTCTACGTTGGGAATCCCTGGGTGGCTCGGCAGTTTAGCACCTGCCTTCAGCCCAGGGCATGATCCTGGAGTCCTGGGATCAAGTCCCACATCGAGGTTCCTGCATGGAGCCTGCTTCTCCCTCTGCTTCTCCCTCTGCCTGTGTCTCTGCCTCTCTCTCTCTCTCTCTGTATCTCTCATGAATAAATAAATATAATCTTTAAAAAAAAGGGGGGGTCTACGTCCTGGCATTGTCCAATGGTGAAATGTTCATTTAACTAGACTTTAATTAGTTAAGGATGTGTGTGGTAGTCTTTAGAGTAACCACTGAAAGAATTATATAAACCATTCTTTATATAATTTATTATATATATAATTATAATATATAATATATAATAGGTATATTATAAATTATATGCATAAGATATATATTATAAATTATGTATGCAAATTATATATACTTAAAGAATATGTTATAAATTGTATATATAAAATATATTTAATAAAGAAGGAAATTGAGTATTTAATATATCCAGAAAAGTAGCCAGAACTCAAAAAATAGAAAAGAAATAATATGTAGAATCAAGCCCAAGTATATCAGTAATACATTAAGTGAAATCTACTATTCCCACTAGAATGCAAAGATAATCAAAGTGAGTGAAAGAAATAAAAGAACTGTGATTTTTTTTCAAGCTTCCTGACTCTGAACAGCAAACTGCCACAGAAGAATAATATTTATAATGGCTAACGTTATACTGACTGATTTCTGTTTAAACCCTTTACATGTCATCTAACCTTCAAGGTTGGTCCTATTACTTTCATGTCTTTATAGTAGAAAAAACATACTTGCTCAGTGTCACATGGTTAGTATGTGACAGAATGAAGATTTATTTTACTTTATTTTTTACAAAGATTTGTATATATTTATTTACTTTAGGAAGAGAGAGAGAGAGCAGGGGAAGGGCAAAGGCAGAGGGGGGAGGGAGAGGGAGAGAATCTGAAGCAGACTCCGTGCTGAATGAAAGCCTAACATGGGGCTTGATCTCAAGACCCTGAGATCATGACCTGAGCCAAAACCAAGAGTCAGATGTTTAACCAACTGAGCCACCCAGGTATCCCCAGAATGAGGATTTAAATCAGGCTCTTTGGACTTGTGTTCTTATCAACATTGTTAAATCAATTGAGATGTTAGTTAAAGGACAATCTTTTTTTTTTTTATGGCATTTCTGAGAGAGTTTCAACTGATGGTATTTTGTCGCACAAGTAACTAAATGATATTTTTCATGACACATTCCCTTATTATTTTGTTCAGATAATATAACAACCCTCACTATTTTCTTTTCTTTCTCTTTTTTAAAAACACAGTTATATTGCATTTTATTTTGCTCACAAGTCTACAGGCCACCTGCGTTTCTATGGCTCTGGGAGGGGCTTAGCTGATCTTGGTTGGACTCACTTCTTGGGTCTGCAGTCACAGGAAGCTTATTAGTCAGGCGTTGTTTGGTTTAGCATGGCATCAGGATATGTCTTGTCTGGTTCATGTAGCTTTCCAGTCGAGCAGACAATTCCAGCCTTATTCTTGTAAAGCAGGCTGGAATTTAAGAGAGTGAGTAGAAGCACCCAAGGCCTTGGGGCCCAGAATGGGCTCATCTTCATTTCTGCAGCATTTCATTGGCCAAAGTAAGTCTCAAGGCCAGCCTAGGTTCAAGCATGGGGAAGCAAAGTCTACCTCCTTAGACAAAGTGCTAAAATGTCACATTGCCAGGAGCATGTTTACATGTAGGTGTGAAAAATCAAGGTCTTTAGGGCAACCAGTCTACTACATCAGCATCCTGGCAGAAGTGATTGGCTCTGTGACTACTAAATCAAAGGAACTCGGGTAACAGCAATGTGGTAAACTGGGAGGATGACAATGCTTGTTAAGTGGTAGCAAAGCAGTTGGCAGATTTTTTTTCTTGTGGTATCTTGGTCCCTATGCTCCTTTTGGGCCCATTTTCATAGAGGACACTTTGGTTACAGACAATAGAAATGAACTCTTCTTGCCTGAAGCATAAAGAAAATTTACTTCAAGGACATGAGGGGATATATGGAATTGACTAGAAGTTTGGAGAAGCAGGATCAGGAATGAAAGCACTTCTGGAGGAAGTTGGGGTGTAGAAGTGGCAAGAATAACAAAACAGTGGTATTTGGAAATTGCACTGGGATACTGCATTTCAACCATTTGCATTTCAGGGGTCACTTTATTCAAAGTTCAAATTTCAACAAGACAGCATCTAATCACATTCCCTCCCCATGGTTAGGGGATTGCAGGACACTCCAAGTGACATTCCCACCAGGTATAGTCAATGGAAAAGTAATACCCAAAAGATGATATGGACACAATTATCAGAGGAAGGCAACACAGATGTTGGGCAGCCAAGAATAGCATAGATCCACTACATCCTTTTAAAAAGAATTCCAAGTAGCTGTACTATGAGTAATTTTTCAGGAAAGACATTTAAAAATGGAAGAGTACATATATAGGGACAGAAGAACTGGGAAGAATTATAATAAGGTATAAGTAATTTTCTGTGAGTTGTGGGATTTGGGTTAGTTCCTTTTTTCTTTTCTTTTTTTTTCCTACAGTGTGTATTTGTTACTTTTTAAATAAAAAAATAAACTTTATCCTTTAAGATGAATAGAATGAGGAAGGGAGTCCCTTCTGATGGTCTGAGGACATAATCACTAGCTACTCTATATTAAAATAGGAGCATATGTTTCCCCTAAAATGAAACAGCCAACTTATACATTAAACTCTAAACAGAAACAAACAAACAAAAAGACCAAAAAAACCCAACGTCAAAAGAACTCCCAATTTGGAAAAGACTTTGCTTGTAGGTTGGGTGTAGAAGGAAGCGATTTCCCTCCATTTTTCTGGCTGGCAGTTCTTTTGGGCTTTGGTATTTGTTTCACCAATAAGGTGTTTGAATATTCCTCCTCCGCAAAGGGGCTGTGCTGGTATGAGATGCTATTGAAGACTCTGGTCTGCCCAGACAGGTCTCTGCGAATGGGACCTGTGGGGGGAGAGGATCCTTTTTTTTTCTGGGTTGGAAAAAAGAAAAAATATAAAGCCTTTGCCCTGCAGGGATGATAGAACACAGTCTTTCCTAATCAGAGGGTCACTCACCTCTGCGCTGTGTTGGGAAGAATCATCACCTAATTCCAAGCCTCAGGCTGGGTCATCAGACACACTGTCTTCTCCCGGCCTTCTCCTAGCTTCTCCTACCAGTTTTCGTGATCCAATTTCTCTGCTCCCTCAGACCAGCTGAAAAGGAGGTTATGAGCTCTCTCCATCATTCGTCACTCTCCTAGGCCCTTCCTCCTTGGCAGTTTTCCCATTTGGGGTCTTTTTTCTCTTCCTCTCACTGTTTCTCCTCCTCTCCCCCACAACCTCTGTATCTCTGGGGGACTTCTGTCTGTGCCTCTGGGCCTTCTTCTTTCTGTTTAGCTCCCAGAACCCATTCTGGGATTCTATTTTCGTCCATCCATCCATCCAACTGATCACGGTTGAAACCAGGAGTGCAATCAGTCCAAGCCGCCGGAGGCATCGGCTCTGGTTCTGCCCCACGTTGCTTTGTTTGTGGGCTATTTTCTGTTTCCCATCATGCTCTAGGAGAACTGCCTGTCAGTGTTGGGATTGTGCTTTTCGTCCTCCTGCCAGCGGGCCCCGCTTAGGAAACTGAGATTAGAAAAGATGGGACGTTTCAGAAAAAGGAGTCTGTGCTATCTCGGCATTTCCTTTTCCAATAGCAGATTTCTTATGCTTTGATAATTCCAGAGTGAGAACACAAATTGTTAAGTGGGTTGAGGGGGAGGGTTCTAGTCAGAGATAACGCTTTCTCCCTTGAGTCTCTTGGGGCTCTCTGTACCCTGCTCCTGGCTCTCATCACTCGGTGCTGATATGGTGTCTGTACACCAGCGCCTTTCACCCCAGCCAGGCGGCTCCTAGAGCCCAGGCTCTGCCTCCCAGGCTCTTGTGCCCAGTAAGTGATCAACACGTATGTGGATTCAAGATCTTTTTCTCCTCCGCGAGATTGGTCTTCAAGCCCAGCCACCCACTGAAAATGTCCTGACAGCCAATGTGGTTGCAACTGATTCCACCTGAGAAGACAACGATGGGGTGGGTGATGGGGGCCAGGGAAGGAAGAGGCCTAGGCTGGAAGAAGGAGGGCAGCACAGGGCCCCAGAGGGCAGCACTGGAGTTAACGCTGCTAAAGTAGAAGGAGTAAAGGAGCCCATTAGTCCTTCCATCTCAGAGGACCGGATTGATCCTTTCAAATTTCTCCACGTTCAGGGATAATAAAAATGTTAATAGCAGCTAATAGTTGATGCTAATACTACCATGCAGGAACTGTTCTAAAAGCTTTGCATTTTCTCACTCCTTTTGTCCTCAGAGCAAGCCTAAAACATGCATTCTGTTCTTGCCATTCCTATTTTACAGGTGAGGCAGTGGAAGCTGAGAAGTTGGGCCGTGGTCGCATGGCTAGTAAACACAGCACACGGAAATTGTGAGTCCAAGTAGGTGGCTCCAGAGCTTGGTCTTGTAACCACTGCACTCCTGGTGATTCCCAAATGTTTGTCTCTAGGACCCATTTATCTCCCGAGGGTCCACTAAGTGCAGCCTTCCTGGGATGACTAGAGACCCGGACACTTGGTCCTGTCTCTATGTTCCCCATGCTCATGTAGAACTCCAAGGATGACACTGCAAAAAGGCCTGGGGAGCTGGGGCAGTGGGGGCAGGGGGGAGAAGAAGGAATGGGGAGGTCCCTCACACAAGCCTGCTTTTCCTCCTCCCCTACCTCCTGTGTTTTCTCTCTCAGCTAGCAGCACCTCATTCCAACTAGTGTAGGCACCCAGGAGGCTATGAGTTTTCTTGTGCTTCCTGTGTGCTCACTTCTTGTGTCACCATGACTTGCTCCTCTGGCCTCTTCATGCTTCTCACATCCTCCTGTAACAAGGACTACGAGTGCCACTTTTGGGTCCCTTCAGCACTCTCTGGGGCCGCAGTAGCAGTAGCCTAAGGGGTATCTCCACCAACTAGGGCAGCATCTAACCCACACGGGTTACAACACAGACTGCTGCACCCCTGCCCAGATTCCCACTTACTGGGTCTGGAGCATGGCCTGGGAACTTGCCTAATGCCACATCACATGCCTACGTCATTCACTTCACTTCATCTCATCATGTGGGCATTTTGTCATCTCATAATCATCATGAGAAGACAAAAAGGGTTAGATGCAATATGGTATTTTGAAAGAGACTGCATTCATATAAATTTTATTACAATATATTATTATAATTATTCTATTTTATTATTAGTCATTGTTAATGTCTTATTGTTCCTTATTATAAATTAAACATTAACATAAATCAGTATGTGAAGGAAAAATCATAGTTTATACATAGGGTTTAATGCTATCCATAATTTCAGGCATCCCTAGGGATCCTGGAATGCATCCTCTTCACATAAGGGGTGACTGCTGTATGTGGGAGCTATTGTTATTGTAGGGTCAGAGCTAATGTCTGCAGAGGTCCTGTTGGTGGCAGGGTCTGACTTCTCTGTAGGTTAATCCCTGAGAGTCTGTGCATGGCCTGGCTGCTGCTAGTCACTCCCACAGACAGAGCTTGCTCCTTGGTCTCACTCTCCTTCCTGCCCAGACGGGGCTGGCCCCTCTTTTTCCCTGGCCTTTTGCCCTCTGGATCTAACTTCTTTAGAAGTGCATGGGATCATGTGAGACATGAAATTCCAGTATTGCAGTGGGCAGCTTCCTTCAGGGGATTCCTACTAACAATGCTATTGATCCACTAGGAATCTTGGCTGGATAGGATCTGCATCTCTAGTCTCTGCAGCTGGTGTCCCAGCCATTTTAGGGGGAAACTTACTGCCAATTGCCCAAGTGATTATTACTGTCACTGTCTGTGTGCTCTTTTGCTGCCAAACCAGTGGGAGAAGGGCTTGCAGAGCTAAGAGAAAGAACTCACCTTGTTTTCAAAGAAACTGCAGTTGCAGGGTTGTTTCCCAATTTTCTCTTATGTGAAAATTCAGGTAAATATGCCACACTTTAAAATGAAAGTCAAATATCCAAAAAAAACCCTGGATGTCTTCAATGATTAAATCCTCCACCCCCACTCCAAGCCAGTGGACAACTGCTTGGGTGTCCTGGGAGGCTCCTATTCCCTCTTTATTGGAATAGGAACTTTGGAGTACATGAACTCTGAGGACTTGTCCTTAGAAGTCCTGAATCCTGTCATTATGGGAATTTTGGCTGTTCCTAATTAACCTTGACCTTGTTCTCTCTGTAGCCTCAGGCTAAGCCTGCCTGCACAGGGAGTTTAAAAAACCCGCAAGATATATTACAGCTGGGGAAGAAGGAGAGGAGTCTGGCTCTTAGGAAAATCAATTTGGATTCAGCAAATATTTGTTGAACTCCCTACTATATGCCATTTCCTGTGCTAAGTTCACCTACAGATACACAGATTCTTCAGTAAGGCCTGTCATACATCAAGATGGCCCTGTAAATAAGTAAATAAGTAAAGCAATTAGATAGACAACTGGACTCTATTTGTCCACATGACCCTCCAGAACCAGTTGCTTTCTTTGCTATATTTAAGTTGAATTTGCATATTTGATTTAGTTTCTTGGGTCTTTGGTTTACTCTGATCTCACAATTTAAACATTTGCTTTTAGACTGAAGACATTTCACAAGATGGTCTCTTATTTAAATATCTTAATATGACCTAAGGAAGAGGCCCAAATAACAGAAACCAGAATCTAGCCACAGGGCCTCAGGCCAAGTCCATTGTAAAAGCCGGTTGTACGTATGACTTTCTGCAGCGCAGGGGATATCCCTGGGGATAGAGATGAGATCCTGTACTCTCTGGTGGATCGTTGCTGGGCAGAAGGTCAATGCTCAGTAACATCTGCTGAATTTGGGATCTTTCTTTTCTACCTAGAGCATCTCCTGGAGAATATAACAGTGAGAGGTCAGATGTTCCTCACCCACTTCTCAGATCTAAGGGCACCACCTTCCTCCCTCCCTCCCGGTTCTATACAGCAGCCTTGCTGCCCTTCCCACTGTGGGTTTGGAGGGAGCAGCTGCCCTTGTCTCCACCCTCTGTTTGTGTGCTAGGCATCTGTTCCATGTCTCTGCCTTTTAAAACATAAACATTTAGAGTTAGAAGAAAGATCATAAGCTTGGAATTCTTGTTCGCAACTTTTGGGCTCTCATGGTGGTGGACCACAGCAATTTAGAAGTGAGTTACTTAGTAGAATTTAACCTTGACAGATGATGACTGTTTGGGCTGTTATTTAATGTTATTAAATATTGCCCCAATTTAACAGAGGAGCCTCTTTTCCCAACCTTATCCTATCATCACTCTCAATGTCCTCTGGGGAGGGTAAAGGGAAAAGTGGTTTATAGTGAACATGATGTTTTATGTTGTAGACTATGGTACATAGTAGGCACTTAACTATGTTAATTCTCCTCTCTAGATAAAATGGCATTATCCTGAAATATGGTCTTTCTATAATGTTTCTGAAACAGAGGTTCTAATCTTAGTTCATGAGCATGGATGGAAAAGGACTGCACCATTATTTTCATTTATTGCTAACTGATTTTTAGGATGTCTTTCAGTGATGAGTGGGAATAACACACCAGATTACTATCAAGCAACACTTGTGACATTGTCTTTAGAAATATTTTGATATTCGGTTGTAATTGTGGCAGATATCCTGAAATATCATTTATACTTATTATTCATTATACTTATTTACTATTACTTCTTATTAGGCCCACCATTTATTTCAGGCATCAATAAAGAAGCACATACATTACTTAATCTCAAATTTATGTTTTTAAATATTTTGTTAACTATATTTCAATATAAGGTGCTTCTTTTATAAGTTCATGCATTTTTTAATATATATTAAAGAACATTATTCTGAGAAGGGCTCCATAGGATTCACCAGACAGCCTTAATCTCAGCACAAAGATTAAGGACTTGTTTTCCAATGATATTCTCTGGTCTTTAAATAGCTTGTATGTTTTTTGTTCTATCTTTTCCTCCTTAATGTTGCTTAGGATACTTAAATACCTCCTTCTCTTTCTTGATCTCCCCCAACCTCTCCCTCTTGGTGTGTGCACATTGAAGCTTCAGGGAATAGAGAAAAATGACCGTTACCTAACTATATCTACTATTAACATCTTGGTAAACTCTGAGAAATATTTATTTTTATGCACAAAATTTTATTTTTAAATGCATTTGTAATTAAATGGTTAATCTCAAATTTGTAACATACTTCATCCATTTTTTTTAAACTAGTGAAATATCCTATGTCATCTTAGCTTGAGCTTGCCTCCCCCTACCCTCGCCCTGTTAACAAGGTTAAGGATTATACCATTGCTTATTTGTTCTAAATTGTAGCTGACTTTTATTTGCTTTTTGAAAGTAGGTAAATATGCTGCCCTTGGAACGTATTTGGCTTCCTTTGGATCCATCCATTTTTGATTCATATGTATTTTTGGTTCTTGCCTATTTAACACTACTTCTAGTCATATCTTCATTGTTCTAATAGGATACACTTTGGGAGAATTATAGCAGGAAATTTAAAACCCTAACAGTTTAATGGTGGAGTCATTAGTTCTTAAAATACATTGTCTGATTCTCTCTCTCAGATAAGTAGGCTCTAGTGCTCTGATGTTGTGGGAACTTAGGTCAGTCATTGGGGGGATATAAGGCATCTCTCCTCTGAAACTGTACTGTATGGAGGTTAGGGGTAGAGGTAGAAGGCAGCATTTCAGAGAGATGACAAATCAAAGCCAGATAAACCATTGGCATGAATGGCCAATCCCCAAGAAGCTAAGCTAAGAGTGGAAAATTCGTATGCTTTTGAATTCAAAGACTTTCACTTAGATCCATTTACTCACTTAGTGACCTGAGAGGGCCAAACTTTAGAAAGCTCAATTTTTCCCATCTATAAAAATAGAACAGGGAGGAGAGGCAAGATGGCGGAAGAGCAGGGTCCCCAAATCACCTGTCCCCACCAAATTACCTAGATAACCTTCAAACCATCCTGAAAATCTACGAATTCGGCTTGAGATGTAAAGAGAGACCAGCTGGAACGCTACAGGGAGAAGAGTTCGCGCTTCTATCAAGGTAGGAAGACGGGGAAAAAGAAATAAAGGAACAAAAGGCCTCCGAGGGGGAGGGGCCCCGCGAGGAGCCGGGCTGAGGCCGGGGCGAGTGTCCCCAGGACAGGAGAGCCCCGTCCCGGAGGAGCAGGAGCTGCACCAACCTTCCCGGGCGGAAAGGGGCTCGCAGGGAGTTAGAGCAGGACCCAGGAGGGCGGGGATGCCCTCGGGCTCCCGGGGACACTAACAGACACCTGCGAGCCCAGGGAGAGTGCGCCGAGCTCCCTAAGGGCTGCAGCGCACGGCGGACCCGGAGCAGCTCGGAGGGGCTCGGGCGGCGGCTCCAGGGAGGGAGCTGCGGGGCGGGAGCGCGAATCCACCAGCGCA